AATTAAAAATAATGATTTGCTAGTCCCATAAATTTGTTCCTGAAAGGTCTTACCTTCTGATTGAGGAAAATGTCTTTCTTCTAATCTCATAGAGTAAATCAATACTAAGCTTCAGAAAAACACTGGCTGTAAGATTTCTGTCCTAATTTACACTACTGTATTCAGGGTCTGTATACATGGATATATGTTTCCGTATATACTGACCCAGTAATTACTGAGGCAAGCCTTTAATTAGTCTGAAATTATGCAGGCATAATGGTGACAACCCACACATTTTTCCATTGGAAATTGTAAATGGATGACAAAGAGAAAACCCCATCCTCTCTCCTCACCACACATACTTCTTGAGGAGCTTTTGCTAGACTTTTTGAACATCAGGCCAGAATCATTGCTCACAGGGGTGTTGCTCACCGTGGCTCAAAGTGTGGTTCACAGAGTAGGACTGGTCTATAGCCAGCAAGGAGATGAACTCAAAAATTAAGAAAAGATGTTCAGGAGCTTTTAGAGGTATTTTGCAGAGTTATTCTTCTATCTGTTGCATCTAATCGTAAAAATTAGGAGTTTATTTTTTGGTAATAATTCAATGGTATTGAAACTTAGTAGAGCTCTTGTCTCTGCTCAGAATGAGATTCAAGTTTCTTTTTTTGGTAGAGCGATCACCAGCATAACCTCATCTCCACATTAGCATGATGACACTAATAATAAGATTATATCTAAATATTGCTTAGTGAGTATTAAAGGATAAAGTGATGTCTGGGTTTGGGAGATGATTCCAGTGAGCAAGAGTAGGAAAGTGTAAATGCAAGACAAGGAGGGGAAGAACGTCAATAAATGGTGCTTAAACAAGCAGGTGACCACTGTGGACAACTGGAGCTCAGTCCCCCTGGGAGCTCTGGGAATGGTATACAATGTGCTTGAGACTGGCCCCACTCGAGGGGTGAGGGATCTGGGCTTTGATCTTCCAAGTTTCTGCTTGTCAATGTTAAGTTTTCCTGGGAGGCACTTGCACCTCAGTCTGCCCCTGTGCAGGCTGAGTGGGCCCCACTCGCTAGAGTAAGCCACAAGATAAGGCTTGCAGAAGCTTCCAATTGAAAGTTGGGCTAGTGTACACAGTTATGGCAAGTGCCAAGCAGATGTGAAGGACATCAAAAGCATCTGCCAGCCAAGACTGGTTTGGCTCAATGGATAGAGCGTCGGCTTGGGGACTGAAGGGTCCGGGGTTCGATTCCGGTCAAGGGCATGTACCTTGGCTGCGGGCATATCCCCAGTAGGGGGTGTGCAAGAGGCAGTTGATTAATGACTCTCTCTCGTTGGTTTCTAACTCTCTATCTCTCTCCCTTCCTCTCTATACAAAAATCAATAAAATATATTTTTTAAAAAAGCACCTGCCAATGAGCAGGTAGGATGGGTGGTCTTATCTAATTTATCGATAGTAAATTGAGATCTGGTTTAGCTCTATAATACCAAGTAGAAGGGGCTGATGGGATGAGAAGGAGCTTTCTCTTTAGTCACCAACTTTGGACCATTTAAAGCCCTTTCCACTAGCTTTCATTCCGGCCTTGTGTAATCAGGTAGTGGGAGGTCTACCTCTGCAGTGGAGACTGGCTGGGTACTCACACAGCCCATCTCTGCTTTCTTGGCCTCCAACTAGACTCCATTTCTCAGTCTTCTTTGCAGAGAAGCTCAGTGGACAGATATGTGTCAATTGAGTGGGAGTGATGTATAATATTTACTTACCTGACCTATGCAATCCCTTATGCATATTCTACCTGCTCTTTGTCCTCCGAGTAGGCTAGAATAGAGATGACCCACAGGGTACCCTAGAGAGTTACACTTGTAGATGGCTAAGCCACAATATGGAAGATGCCTTGATTCCTGGGTTGTCACTTAGAGGAGAGCCACTGGACCAAAAACATACTCTTTGGATTTTTATTGTGGTAAGCCACTGTGATTTTAAGGATTATCTACTACAGTAACTAGCATTACTTTAAATTTAATGCAACATACACATGTGATCAAATAATTTATTTTTCTTTATATCATTTGCCATTTTCTCAGATTATGTATTTATTTATTTATTGGCTGTCTATCCTCTAACAGGAAGAATTGAATTTGTACACTGTTGTATCTTTGGCCTCTGGTACAATGCATGGTAACTAGGAGATGCTCAATAATTGTTGTCTAGTCACTCTCTATCATTGCCCAACCTTCACTGAGATGGTACATTACAGGTCTTGTTCTAGGAACTTCTTGTCTCTTATCTTAGTTCATCCTCACAACAACTGTATGAGGATACTGAAATGCCTAGAGATTTAATAAGGGAGGTACCCAGGAGGCAAGTAAGGGAGCAAGGACTGGAAACCAGGCTGTTTGACTCAACCCTCAAACTCTTACACCCTTGGCACATTGTCTGATAAAGTCTGCCAGGTGCAGTGCTAGGAGCTGGGGTTATAGGAAAGCTGAGGCATAGCACCAACCCATGAGGTCTACTCAACAGGCAACAGCATAGGTTTATGTGCAGTGGGGGAAACAGACAGTCTCTGTTCTTATCTTAGAGCTCTGCTACCTACCCAATCTAAGCTAGGACTCAGCTACAGGATCAAAAGTTCTCTTGTATAATGAGAGAACAAAGCAGATATGTAGAAATGAAGCCAGATTTTTTCTGTCTCCAATGTGAGATACTACAATGGTACAGGGATACTTGGAAAATTTGAACAATTTGAGCAAAGGCAGTGTAAGTGGGAGCAAAACAAATAACAAGCAGACAAACCAACCAACCAACCAACCAACCAACCCTGTGAGTCTTGGGAAGAGTTAGGAAGAGAGTAGAACAAGGGGTTTCGGTTAGGAACGTGGGTTTGGTGATTAGATAGAACTGGTTTCAGCCAGTGGGGGTGTTAGTACCTTGGGCCAGTTCACTAGCTTTGTTGGGCTTCTGTACAATGGATTTAATATGCCTGCCTCCCATGTAAAGTGATTAGCACAGAAGTACAGAGTGTGTGCTCAGGAAGAGTGGCTGGTATAATAGTTATTCTTTGATCCCCCGGCTTAGGATGGAGAACTCAGCCCTCCTGGCCACTGAGCTATGAAGACAGAAACTCTTGGGAGGCTATAATCGTGGCCACACACCCCAGCTGAAGAGAAAGCTCAGCACCTACCCAGCCTCTCTCTCGGCCTTCCCACGTGTAGCCACTAGAGGGCCTTGGGCATCTCTGTTTGCCACTATAGGTTTGCTCACAAGTGGCACCCAAGAGGCCCAGTGGGTTACTAGAAATGGGACTTTCTGCAGGGAGAGGTAAAGGAGCACAGCATTTGATGAGAGCAGCGGCTGTGAGGTCACAGTTCCAGGTGCTGCAGGGGAGGGTGCAGAGAGCCTATTCTGCTGCTGACAAACTTCCCATGAGGGAATTAATTACTTGGGGTTTACCCTGGGGCTGGTTTGGGACCCTGTATATCACTCATTGGCCTCCTAGAGCTTTGGGAGTGAAAACTAGCTTATTCTGATAGAGACAGATTATAGTTTAGCAAATTTCCAGAGGTGTGAGACTATCCTCATGAGGTACAAAATGCCAGGTGTGTTCTCAGAAGGCAAAGAGTCCAGTACCTCTCCCCTGCTCCCAATTTAGCCTATCTTCCAGCTCTCAGTTAATTAGATCAACAAGGGCTGAATCAAAATTGCTCATTGGAACCATTACTCATCTCAGTTGTCCTCACTGTAGGAGGGAAGAGCTCTGGTACCTTTAATTTTCCATTCTAAATCCTTAACATGAACACTTGTGCCATGGATCTATAACTTGTCACTCTTGTTTCTCTGCTCATTACTCGAAACATCCTAGCCTTCAGGAAACACCACACTCTTTCCTAGTTGCTTGTATTGGACCATACAGTGGTTTTGTTTTTTGTTTTGTTTTGTGGGTTTTTTTTTGTTGTTTTTTGTTTGTTTTTTTTACTCAAAAATGCATTCACTTCATCCTCCCCCTTTGTTGCTTTATGAAATATCAATTCTCCATCAGACCAACAGGTACTTATCAGATTCCTGCTTCTATTTCCCATCATACCTTGCACTGACTGTTAATAGAACACATATTAGAGGGAGTTATTGATATACATTTTTATCTCTCCTCTTCACTCAGTTGAAGTTCTCATGTGTTTCATCTCTACCCTCTAATGGAATACCTGTCCTACAGAGAACTCACCACCTCAAAGGTAATACATTTCACTGCAATGATCTTTCTTTGCAAAAATAGCTTACCTAGTATTAGAAACCAAATCTGCTTCCCTTGATATATAGATCTATTGATTCTCTTCCTACCGATTCAGTTGCTCAAAATTCCTCCGGATGTGAATAGGCTTCTCATTTCATAATTGGAAATAAGCCTCAAATATAAACATACTGAGAGTGGGCAATACATGAATAATTAATTCTAAAGTGTAAAAGACTGATAAGAGATTTTCCATGAGAACAAGAATTTATTAGGCAAACCTAAGGGTAGGATCACTTGGAATACCAAAGACACCAGGAATATGAGGACACTAAATATTTGATGTAGTATGAAGAGCATTGGGCTAGGATGTGAAAGAAGGGTCTTATGTGGTTTATTTTATGTCAGCTTTGCTTTTGTCATCTGGAAAAAGAATGACTTGCATTATGAGTAGTTCTACTTATCACCATAATTGCAGATTTTGTTTGGAAGCAGCCCCACTCAGTTGGGCTATTTTAAGCCTTCGCTCTGGCTTGGTCTTCATAGCTCTTTCTACCTCTGGGTGGGCAAAATGCTGTACCTGTGTCAGTGAGCTTCATCCTCCTGGGGCTGGACTGACGTTCTTGGTGCCAAAGATGCTAAGACTTACACCACCCACCACCACGCCAATCAATGAGCCTTTTATTCCCACTTGGCTTGAACCTTTCTCGCCCTTGCCTTACAGCCCTGCTTCAGCAGAGCTCTTCATGGTATTTGCATCATAAATATTTGCCAGTAACACATTTATTATGTAGGTAACACATTTTATTATGATTTTATTATATATTCTCTTTTCCTGGAGTTTTGCAAGTAAAGATTGCATAATAACCAACTCTTTATTTGCCCTAAGTTCCACACCACAGAACCAGGTCAAATTACAACTGCTTGATGCACTAGACTCAATGACTCAATAAATACTTTACAAAAATAATGTAGTTATTTTCCCACTTAAAACATAAAAAAATTAGGATTTCCTAGACTTGAGTTCTCCTCCTCTTTTTATATTTATTTACTGTGAATATATTGGTGAAGGGAAAAAATGTTAAGATGGTATTAAAATGAAATAGATGACATGGGGTCTAATGTTATTTTCCTGCTTATCTTGCTTTCTTATCATTGGAAAAAGTGCTATTCCCTGTTTTTATGTCAGACTTTCCTGCAGCCTTCTGGACTTACTAAGGCATGAGCAGGAGTTCTGCCATTCTGAAGCCTTTTAGTAGAATCAAAGCATTAGGCTAATATTGGCCTTTTATTTTAAAAGCCTATTTAAAACCAGGCCTCAGATTTTTGCCTAAAACATCCATTTGCCTGACACCCCCACCCCCTTTCTTAGTTAGGCAAGGACATTTTGGACACTGAGACTTCAGCAAGGTGCCTCATGGTTAAATAATATTTGGTTTAAGGTGGGTGTTTTCTTGTTTGGATATATTTCTATTGAGTTATTTTTAAAGACATCATCACACATTCCCTTTCTCCTCCACCTCCCCAAGCCCTGTCTTGCACGCTCCCAGAAGCGACGAAACAGTCTCCCGGTGACAACTCCAGAGAAAAGGTTATGCTTAAGTCACATTCATATTAAATAAGTTATAGATAAAAACTTATAATGTTTACAAACTCCAGTCTCTTTCCCTCCCTCTGCTTCGCTAGGAAACTCTGGATCTGGGGGTGTGAACTGAATCCCACCCACTGTGGCTTCCAGGTTCTCCTGGCTTCTCCGTCCTCATCCTCTTTCCCACACCACCCCCAGGAGGAGCTGCACGGAGGTCTGTGGGCATCTTCGATGGCAAGGGTGGCTTCCGATGGCAAATCCCGGGCCTGGTGCACATCCGTAGTGTGACTTAGAAAGACATACGCATGTGGTCCGTGCCAACACACACGAAGGCGGCCAAGAGGGACGGTGCTCCCGGTCGCAGTCAGTGCAGCGCATGTGTGTCCTCCATCCCGGTGGTGGCCTCTCTCTAGTACTCCCTGGCCTCCTGGAACTGCTTGATGTAATCTTCGTCCGAGGGGCTCTCGGTGCACTTCTGCCCGTTGTTGGGAGGCCGGGCTTCATTGTACCTGCTCCAGTCGCCCTTACAGAGGATCCAGGGCAGGACGTCCACCTTGTAGTGCAGCTCGGCCGAGAACTCGGTGCTGATGAGGTTGGGGGTCCCCGCCCCTTTGCCCCTGGTGATGAGCTGCATGTTGTCGCCGTAGCAGCAGTGCTGGGCGGCCAGCGTGGTGCTCTCCAGGGACAGCATGGAGCGGATGCAGTAGCGGGCGCTGGGCTTGTAGATCTCCAGCTTCTCCTTGGGCCCGCTGGCGTCCTTCCAGCGGAAGTCCTTGCGCTTGATGCGGTCGAAGATGTCCGCGGTGCTGTAGGCCACCTCGGTGGGGTAGGAGCAGGGGCAGCTGGGCAGGTCATTGAGGACCTTATGCATGTACTTCTTCAAGAACTCGCTCTTGCAGCTCATCCATCGCTCACAGCTGTCCGTGTCTGAAAAAGGCCACAGAGAAACCCTCTCACCACATGCAAAGCAGACAGCAGGTGACATTGCCATCTACCACCCATCCCGCAACCCCATCTCCCCCCACCAGCCAAACCCTGCAGCCCCTGGAACCACGAGTCCTAGCTCACCTCCCTTTAACTTGGGAAGTTTGAACTTGACCAACTATACGCCATCACTAGACTTAACCATAATTATACTGTATATGTTTTATACATTTTTAATTTTTTTGGAATATATTATTATCCCTGAGTCTAAGTTTTAGTAGGTATCTACAAAAAGTACAAATACAAAAGGAGGATATTGGGGGGCTAACCATACCCCATTATCACCCATAAGAAAATTAACAATAATTCAGAGGGCCATTTTAAATCTTCTCTTTTAATGCATGGTGAAGGGGTAGAAAATGCTTGCAAGTAACATTTGTAGGATAGAGTTATACTTCTGCCAGCCACTGACCAATTAAAACTAGATCTAGTGCCCTAAACTCTTAACCTTAAGCACTAAATGGCAACAATTATTGTATGCAAATCCATATTAAAAGATGCCTCTAAGTGGAAATAGCTGGCTGGTGGCCTCAGCTTTTAAGGAACTTAACACTTAGGCCAGAGGCACCCTTACCTCTAAGGCTGGAGCCTGAACTCACCCCCATAGTTGTGTTTGGCCTTTGCAGTATGAAAAATAGTGAATTAATCGCTAACAGTTAAAACAGGTGGTTCCATGGATTAATATGGCTTCCTGGTTTAAAAAACCAAAAGATATGTTTATGCTGGTCCTGCATTGCTCTATGCCAGAGTCTATGGGAACAATTGGCTGAGTGAACAGGCAAACAGTGACCATTTGGGCAAACTAAAGTTGAGCAGAAAGAAATCTGGTGGGCTGTCTGGCTGTAGGGAACACAGTCAGTTTCAATGAAGGTTATGGGGAAGCAGGTGTATCAGGTCGTCTTCAGTGCAGGTGAGGCTTGTTCAGAGGGCACCAGGAAACCACTGAAGATTTTAAAAAATAAACAAACTATATTTATATTGAATTTTTTAGAGAAAGAGGAAAGGAGACGAATAGAGAGTAGAAACATTAATGAAAAACATCACCGATCAGTTGCCTCTTGCATGCCCCCTGTGGGAATCAAGCCTACAACTCAGGCATGTGTCCTACTGGGTTTGGAACCAGTGATCTAGTGGTTCCTGGGTCAATGCTTACCCCCTGAGCAACACTGGCTGGGCCACTGAAGGTTTTTGAGCCACAGTGAGCTAATTGAGCTGTACAGTCAGAAGATATATTCAGTGCTGATATCAATTGTAAGAGTCCAGGGAGGGAACAGCAAGTGTGACTAACAGAGAAAGAAGGCTGCTAGGTCTTGGTGGGCTTGGGGGTAATGGGAGGAGGACATTCAAGATGACTCACTAGCTCCGACCCAGGTGCCTGGGAGGCTGATGGTGTCTTGAGTGGAAATCAAGTGGCTAGGATGGGGGCAGGCAGCTTGGAGGAGAGCTCGGGGTCCTCTTCAGTGGAATGAGGAAGTGAGATGGGACATCTCTCAGGAGCTCAGTGAGGACTGGCCTCCTTGAAAAGCAGGGGCTCTTGTGCTGGACTGCCTAAGATCGAAGCCTGAATCTACTATTTAGTAGCTCTGTGACCTTGAGCAAGCTATCCTTCCTCGCTGTGATTCAGTTCTCTCATCGCCAAACGGAAGATGTAACAGCGTCTGTCTCATGAAGTGAGATGAGGATTGAATGGGAGGGAACACAGAGAGGACAGGGGTGTGCTGAGGCTCCTTTTGGTTCTGAGTTCTACAATTCCAGCTCAAGCCCCTCACTGAGCAGAAGCTGAGAGAGTGGAGATTCCACCCTGGGAAGTGTGTGTGCAAAGTCAGTGGGGGTCTCCTGCAGAGGGCAGGGTCTTCAGAAACAAAATTCAGTGCAGCTCCAGAAAATGGCCTTGTATTTTCCCTCCAGGGTGGCAGGTCATCAAAAGTCATGTACCTAAAGGATATCCATTGACTTATTTTTATTCATCAAATTTATGTAGATGTTTAGTGTGAGGGATGTGTTCTAAACGCTTTATAAATATGAACTAATTTAATTCTACAACAACTCTATAAAGTAGGCACTAGTTCCTCATACCATTTCACAGATCAGAAAACGGGGGCAGTACTGGATTAAGAAACAACCTTGTGCAAGAAATATGCTGGGAGAATTGGACTCCATATGAGGAAAAGGAAACATTTAAATGGATCTGAGGATGACATTGCAAAAGCAAAAGGAATGTCCAAAATACTAAATCAATATTTGAATAAAAAATAATAAAAAATCTTACCAACTTCAAACAGTTTGGTGGCATTAAATTCCTCGCTTCCAGCAAGCAGACTCACTTCAGTGGCCGCTGTCCTGAAGGTGTCTTCAATTCCTAAAGACAGACAGGGCTCATTTCCCATCAGTTATATGGAAAAAGTCCCCACCCCCACCCCATCAATTAAAAAAAAAAACATCTACACCTCAACAAAGCCTTTTTTTGTGTTCATTACTACTCATGGGTAGAAACTTGCCAACAGAGGAAACAGTAAAAAGCAGGTAGCAGAGCATAAAATATATTAAAACCCCAGATATCATGTGCAGCATGAAATCAGATCCAAATGTGCCTGACCAAGTCCTAAGGAACTCAGTCACTAGGTCCCAGAGTGGAGTTTGGGGCAGTGGGGGACACATATCAAAAGGGTTGTCTGCCTGGTGGTGTAAGGATGACAAACTAAACTAGAGGCAGTAGCCAATACCAGTCTAAGTGGTCAATACCAATCTTAAGGGTGGACTGACTGACTGGGTTCAATCATTACTTGCTGTGTGACCTTGGGAAAGCCACTTAACCTTTGTGTAACTATTTTCACATCTGTAAAATGGGGAGAAATAAAGACCCACCACACAGAGTTGAAGGAATTAAATGAGTTATGTGTAAAGAAGGCACTTAGACTAAGTAGTAAGTAGCAAGAGTTAGCTGTTGTTGTTCCTTGAATGTTCGTCTAGCTCATTTTGAGGATGCAGTAGCCAAAGACCAGCTATCTCCTATTCTGAGACTTTTAGCATTGTTGATAATGCTTCAAAAAGAGTAAGCTGGCTTGTCATTACTTGCTCGAAGGGACCGAACCCAGCTTGCCTCAAACTTCTTGGCTCTCCTCCCCTTCCAAACTGCCACCCCACCCCACCCCGGCTTCCTTTACAGACAGGAATCCTGTGCAAGCTGAGGCAGTCAAAGAGGCAGAAGTTGTGGGATGTAGACAGATTGGAGATCATTGGCTGCCTATTAGGCATGAATTGATTTCCTTTAAGAGGCTCTCTTTGATTGTAGGTGAGGCCCTTTGAACTTACTTATAGGGTTTACCTATGGGACAAGCTTTTATAATGCAATTACTACTAGGCCAGGGAGACCAACTGCCCCACGATTCTTTTCAATAGAGTTGAGAATCAACATACCAAATAAGGAAAGAAATCCTGTAAAAAAGTCCTTCATGTCCCAAGAGAGTCCCGAAAAGCCGGAAGAGCCAGGAACAGAGAGGCAGAAAGGATGGAAGGAAGGCAAGGTCTGATGAGAAGAAAATGTGGGGGCAGGGTTGCCAGCCACACTGCTCTCCGTGTGAGAGAAAATGAGGAGGCAATATTAAAAATGGCGGCAACTGAACTCCCAGTCTCCTGGTCAAACTCCTGAGGGGACACTTTGTATATTAGCCATATATATGTGTGTGTGTGTGTGAGTGTTAATCTTCTCCCAAGGATATTTTTCCATTGATTTTTAGAGGCAGTAGAGGAGAGAAAGAGAGAAACATTGATGTGAGAGAGACACATACAATGGTTGCTTCCCACATGTGCCCAACTGATCCTGCAACCTAGGTAGATACCCCCCCTCCCCTCTCTTTCTCTAGTTCTTGACTGGAATTGAACCCAGAACCCTTCAGTCTGTGGGCCAATGCTCTATGCACCGAGCCAAATCTTCTAGAACTCTTTCACTTCTCTTTTAGTCCAAATCTCAGCCTTACAATTTGAGAGCAGAGTTCAGGGGTAGGAAATGAAAGTCTTGGGTGCAGAAATTAACTTTTCTGTGCCTGAATTTTTTTGAAAATAGATGAAGCTATTTGGAATATGTGGTTTCTTGGGAGAGTCTAAGATAAGATATTATTTTAGTCTAGAGGCCCGATGCACAAAATTTGTGCAAGGGTCTCAGCCCTTGCAGCCACGGCAGCTTGCCTTGGCCCGTGCAGACCCCACTTTGTCCAGAAAGTTGTTTGGCTGTCTGGTCTAATTAGCATATTACACTTCTATTATTATAGATTGGTATTCTGCTTAGAAGTGGGGAACACACAGTGAATGTAAAACTACAGACCAGAAGTTGGTAAACTTTTTGTAAAGGGTCAGAGAGTACTAGTAAATACTTCATGCTTTGTGGGTCACATATGGTCTTGGTCACATACTCTTCCTTCTCTTTATCCTTCTTCTCTTCTACTTCTTTTTCTTCCCCTCCTTCTTCTTTATGTCTCCTTAAACATGTGTGAACCACACAAAAACAGGCTGGAGTGTGACGACTACTGCTACTGACAGTCACAATCATTTTTCACCTCCAACATCTTTCACCCAGTAAGCTCATTACTCGTCTCTTGTCTAAGTCTGAACAAGACTGAACTTGAACTTGGAGCCACAGCCCTGCATAAACCCACCTGGGCAGTTTGGACGATCACACGTCCGAGACTCTGTGGCAGTGCACGCGTAGCCACAGGACCTGGTCCGCTTCTGGTTGCCATTCCCACAGGTGACGCTGCAGACAGACCAGAGACTCCAGTCGCCCTCCCCATCGGTGGAATCTGGAAGGGAGCCAGAGAGACGGTCACAGCCTCATCAAAAGAGTCCCCAAACTCACCCAACAAGTAGCCTGCCAATAGTCCCCCTGCATCACTGTCACTATTGGAGGGGCCTAGATGCCTGCTGGAGTCAAAAGGCTTATAGCTTCAGGGTTCATTTTAGAAATGAACCTCATGCAGGCAGTGACTCAGTCTGAGGATTTGGGCACTGACGTGGTCAGCCCATGACTAAGGCCTGACAGTTCCAACAGGTGCCAAGTGAGTGCTTATTGAGAATGCATACATTTGCAGAGCATAGGATCATGAAATAATATGATAGGTATGTAGATGACCACCATTAATTCCTTACCTCCCTGTGCCTACATTTATAAGAAGAGAGAGAGAGAGAGAGAGAGAGAGAGAGAGAGAGAGAGAGAGAGAGAGAGAGGGCTGTGTCCCCTAGAATCTGTGCTAGCTTTGGCCTTAGGAGGCCTGACTTTTGCTCTGCAGAATCCAGTTGAGGCTCAACCTGTGAATTATATGATGCCACTTGGAAAGAGAGAAGCCACATGAAGGCCCACCAAAACACTAGACATGCGAATGAAGCCTTCATGAAACTTCCAGCCCTTTGCAATGGACAGCTGGATGCAGCTGATGCCTTCAGAAGTGTAGGGACTGCCCAGTGTGACCCTGCTTGAACTCTCGAGCCATGGGGTCATAAGAAATAATTAAGTGCTGCTGTTTTCAGCCATGGCGTGTGGGGATGTTTTGTTACACAGGAGTAGACAACAGATAACCAATGGTGACACTACATGGTTCTTTGAGGTCATTGCTCAGCATCCATCCTATTGAGCCCCTATTGCATGCCAGGCACAATTCTGTGTGTGTAGGATGTATCATTAAACAAAACTTTCAATGATTCCCTGTGCTGGTGGAACTAATATTTTAGTGAGAAGAGTCAGCCAATAATTAGTAAACAAAAAAATGAGTAAATTATACAGCAGATTAGAAGTCTGTGAATGACATGAAAGGAGAAGCAGATCAGGGTAGGAGGGTCTGGATAGTGAGAGGTTGTGAGAGGCTTGTGTATTATCAACAGTGAATTCTTCTTTTTAAAAATAAGAAACTGAGCCCTGGAGCGATTGGGTGACTATTTAAGGTCATAATGGGGACAGAAAGGAACACTTGGGCTCTAGCGCTAAACTCTTAATCTCAAAAGCTTGACTCTTTCTGAAGAATCTCCACTCAGCCGTAATTTCTCCTGGGTTAGCCAAATGCTTCTAGAGCCTTGGGCCTCTGTGGGTGCCAAGCACAGAGGTATAGGCATGTGCCTTGCAGGGAAGGGGTTCTCTCCATTCATAACAGGTCCTGGTGATTGTTATTATGTAGGCTGGGCAAGAATGCAGGCCACACATGTTTCTACCTGAACTGCGGGCCCTGTGCCAGCCTCCCAGGCTGTTGTTTACATGGCGTTCACTTTGAACACTCCTCAGGCAAACACAGGGCCCTCGAGTCTCCTCAGCCCATTCAGCAGAGGTGGGGGGGGGGGTGTGATTCATGGAGTTCTCTTCCCTAACCCGGAGTAGAGCATTTGCTCACACATCGCCTGCCCTCAGGGACCCCCCGTTCATTTCTATTCTCTTCCCAAAACAAAATTTTCCAATCTTCGATTTTCTTCTAAGAAATGGTTTTCCAACCACATGGCCAAGCAGATGTTTGAAACGACTGCTTGGTGTGACAGGGCTGGGCCTGCTTCCCCAGCCTTAGTCTTCCTCCTCACTCCCCTCTCTTACGAGGCATGAACAGCAGAACTGGATGCTTCTGGAGGGACACATCACAGAGGTAGAGGCTGCTGCTGCTCCCTCCGAGATTCTGCAGTCTGGGATCTCTTGCTAATTTCACCAGGAACACCAGAGGGTGCCCAGAACAACCATGTGTCTGCACTCTTGTCAGTGGGAGCAAAGGGTTATATGCACATGTGACCGCATTCAACCACAACCTACATGTACCTACGATGCCAGGTTTATTAAAGGGAACAACCACAGAGTCACAAGCAGAGATTATGTCTTTAGGTTCATAGGAAGGGGGCAGTGGGTTAAACAGAAAAAGCTTATTATACCACAAAGGTAGGGTCCATGTCACCTGTGGGATGGTACAGGCACAGGACTCAGTCCCATGATGCCAGGAGGTGTCCTGCTTGACTCAGTGGAAGCAACAGGGCCCCAACCATCTAGAAATCTCATGCAACCTTTCCTCAGTGTGACAGTAATACGGAGAGCTGATTTTAGGCAATGTCACCCTGAACTTTGAGATTTTGGCATTAAACTTACCATGATGCTTATATTAGAACCTCTGCATTAGATATGTTCTTGTTTGGGGCTCTTGGATCAAAATCATTGGGTATCAGTAACTGTCAGATTATGTAAAAAATGATGTCCATGATTGCACTTCCCTTTGCTTTGCTCTCACACTGACCCTAGCCCAGCCCACCAAACTTGCTTTGGCCAATGGGAAAACAGCAAACATGATGCAAACAGGGGCTGCAAGAGGGCTCCTGTATTAGGGCTTGGCCTCTTGTTGCAGGGAACTCTTCCACTACCATGTGAAGAGCCTGGGGCTGGTCTGAAGGGTGAGGAAGCAGTTGGGGAGAGGCCCAGCCATCTCACTCCCCAGCTGCCCAGCTGGAGTGCCAGAATTGTGAATAAAGCCATCCTGGACCTCCAACCTCACCCTCCTTCTCTTCCATCCCCCACTTCCCCAGCTAGCCCAGAGTAGAGAAGAGCAGTTCGGATAGTCTGCAAACTGCTGAGAGGTAATGCATTTGTTCTTGTAAGGCACTGAATTTTGGGGTGTTTTCTGAAGCAACAAATATTAACTATAATACATATACCATCACATTTTCCCCAAGATACATTCTCTTGATGGCTAGCAGAGTCCAAAACCATGAAGAAGTTCTCATCTTAGCAAGTGGGTTCTTCATGCCTTTATTTTAGATGCTCACGAAGTCATTTATCTTCCAAACATTTTTTATACGGGGCCCTCAGAGTTTGGCACAGAACATTCTATCACCAGGCATTTAGTCATTTGTAAAGGGCTAGTAATGAGATAAACCACCTCCCAAGAAAGTGTGTATGTCAGCTCACAATCCTAGGCCTCCATAGCATGCTATCTCAGATGAATATCCCAGCAAAGACCCTCTCCTTGGGGATTTCTATTTGTTTAATGTGTTCAGAAGATAGAAAGGGAACTTCTCACAGTGAACCAAGATTTGAGGGCAGGAGTCCTTTCTGCTAGAATCAAACACTAGTTCTCATTCACTCACCAACCAGGCAGGGAGCATAGCTCAGAGCAGAAACTGAACATAAGCAGCAGCAACTGCAAAGATGGCGATAATGACAGTAAAAAACAATCCCTGAGATTTGACAGCCCCTATCTGTGACATCCAATTGCTCAGCGAGGGAAGAAAGCAATGCACACTACAGTGAGTGACAGCTGGTTTTCAAGGATGTCATTTGAAAATTTAAAGTAGTCATTATACTGTTTCAAACACTAGAGTTCAGTGGCCCAGTCATGATGTTTGGGCAACTGAAGTGACTTGGGTCTTGAGTCAGCTCCTGGCAAGCCTCCACCACAAATCTTAGTAGATATAGTGGCTACCAATGATTGAGGGCCTGCTTTCACCAGCTGCCCTGCCTAACACACTGATTTAACTTCTGTCACAATCCTGCAAAGTAGGTGGAAATAGCTTCCTTTTACAGGTAAGGAAACTGAGGCTCAGAGGCATTAAGGTACTTGTCTAGGGCCACACAGCTCAAACTTGGCAGAAGCGGGATTAGGTCTGAGGTCTGTCAGCTCCTGCTCTAATATCCTGTTCTATATTCTGGCATTCTAGCAGTTCTACTTCTGGCCCAGATTGGCCTCCTTTCTTTAAGATGCCCACTTATGTGGCCACAATTTAACATTACAAAGGAAAGCCCTTAAAAAAAAAACCCACTGAAATCCATTAAAATAGGATCATGATCAGTTAAAGAATTGCAAAGAATTGAGTCTCAAACTCGGTTACAATACGCAGTGCCCATTAAGTTTATTTTTTCGGGTTGTTCTGAACAGCTTTGGGAATGGTATACTTCTATTTAACAGAAAGGCGTTTATTTGAACTCTTTTGTTGCCTGGGTGAGACTCTCCGTATCTACACAGAAGGTATTTAAAATGCGATTCTCAAACACATACAGTCCAAAGTTGAGCTTACTCATGTTTCCATGATCCCAAGTTAGGTCTAACTAACTTCTGTTATGTACCTTATAATTTATTCTAAAGATGCCATTCTATTTTTATTTATTTCACCTAGAATTTTTTGAAATACTTTTTGGCCACATACATTTAAATTCTTATTAAAATCCTACCTTCAAAAATCTAAAAAACAAGATCCTATAGAAAGACCAATTCCTGTAGCAATTTCAGCCTGTCTCAGACAAGAGAGCAGGCACTTTAGGTAGAGTGACTTGTGCTGCTTTGTCATTGCATGAGTCTCTCCTTCCTGAGCAGTGTCCTCACTAACTGTATCCTCCACAGCATCTAATCTAGGGATACATACTTGGAAATGGCACTGTAGTTTCTTTTAAAAAATATATTTTTAATTGATTTTTTACAGAGAGGAAGGGTTAGGGATAGAGAGTTAGAAACACTGATGAGAGAGAAACAGCTGCCTCCTGCATGCCCCCTATTGGGGATGTGCCCACAACCAAGGTACATGCCCTTGATGGGAGTTGAACCTGGGACCCTTCAGTCCCCAGGCTCACGCTCTATCCACTGAGCCAAACCTGTTAGGGTGGCACTGATTGAAATAAAAGAGGACTCAGTTTCTTGCTGATTGAAATAAAAGAGGACTCAGCTCAGCCAATGCTGTAAGGAATTCTGAAAATCACATGTTCCCTGTGAGCCAGTCTCAGAAGCAATACTTCACTCATTTTGCAAATACTACTGAGCATCTGTGACATGCTGAGAGTCTACTACTCCAAGTGTGGCTCAAAGGCCAACGGTGTCAGCCTCACTTGAGTTCCCGTCCTTTTCTACATCGGCATCAGAAGCTGCACTTTAACAAGACCCCCAGGTTTTTTGTGTGCATGTTGAAGTCTAAAATGCACTGATTTAGAAGTATTACAAGGGACACATTTTTCTTTATAAAGTAGCAATCCTGATATCTAGTCTAATGATGAGGAAGTTACTAAGAGAGACTCCAAAATCACAAAAGATTGAGTTTCTTCATGGCCAAGGGATGCTGCAAGATTCAGATGCAAGGCACTCTGTGGGTATCATAGGCCCAGAAAGCTGGGGTGAGGGTGGCTGAGGCAGCCATCATAATTGCTCCAACAGAAGCAAATTCTATCCTCAAGATTGAAATAGAAGATGTTTTTAATGTTCATAAATTCAACTTAGGGTGCTCTGTAAAAGCTTTAGTGGAAGAGCTGTTTCTAGTGGTAGTCTTCAAAATTCAGTGAGCATGGGGATAGCCTGCTGACCTTGGTTGGAAAAAGAAACAAAGACAGACTGAGCCTACGTCTCGCTGTTGGACATTCTGGTTTAATAGAAAGTCGGCAGTAGCCTTTAACCTGAGCTGCACATTGGAGTCACTCATGGAGCTTTAAAAACTCAGATGTATGGGCTCCACCTCAGAGATCCCAACTTATTGGTGAGAGAAATCTGAGCACTAGGGTTTCAAACAATTCACCAGGTGAGCATAATGAGCAACTGAGAACTGTTGGTTTTGAATACTCAGTGTTCCAGAGGCCTCTGGAAAGTTCGTTCAAACATAGATTGGGAACCCACACCCAAAATATCTGATTCAGGTGGCCTGGGGCCTAGGAGACTGCACATCTGCATTTTTATCCTGGTTCCAGATAATGCTGATGCCACCAGTTTAGGGACCACACTTTGAGAACCATTAGGATAGAGGGATGGGGTTGGGGCTAGGATTGGCGTGTTTTTTTTTGTTTGTTTGTTTGTTTGTTTCTTTTTGTTTGTTTGTTTGTTTTTTTGTGTGTGTTTTCAACATGCAACCAAGAAATTCTGATGCAAAGGGTTTAGGCCCCACTCATAGAAAAAATGTTCTGTGTGGGCTGGGCAAACAGGTTTAGCCACAAAGCTGTGCAATGTCAGGCTAGTGCCCAGGATTCTGTGTGCATTGTTTCTTTGTTCAATAGTACTTTCCAATCTTTAATTTATATCTTCCAAATCCAAGTGACCATTTCTAGATCCATTCTTCTCTCCTAAAGGATGTGTTCCCCCCTATCCCCACACAAGAGAGGCAGAAATAACATAGTGATTAAGAGGACAGACTTTGGACCAACTGACTGAGATAAATCCTTGAGGTCAAGTTTCTTAATTTCTTAGGCTTCAGGTTCCCCATCTGTAAAATGGGGTACATGGCTCAGAGAGCTTATTAAATGAGCGCTACATGTTAGATGTCATGAAGAAGGATTGGTGCATGTTAAAGGCTATATGTATGTTTGCTACTATTCCAAGTCCTTCTTCCTAGAAAGTAGATAAATTGGACTTCCTCTGGGAATGCGGAAGTTTTCATGAGTCTCCTGGCTAGAGCTCTCTTTCAGCTCCCCTAGCATTTGATATATATTTCCACAATGGCACTATTTTGCTTAATCAGTTAATTTTTCTCCCCTTGTCCACACATAGGTGATGCCCACTGTAGGGAAAGACTGTGTCTTACTCATTTTTTTATTCCCAGCACCTAACATAATATTGATCACAAGATATGCTCTTAATAAATGTCTGTTGAGCCCTGACCTGGTGGTTCAGTTGATTGGAGCATTGTCTCATACATCAAAAGGTTGCAGGTTCAATTCCTGGTCAGGGCACATATCTAAGTTGTAGGTTTGACCCCAGTCAGGGCATGTGTGGGAGACAACCAATCAATTTTTCTATCACATCGATGTTTCTCTCACTTTCAAATCAATAGAAACATATATCCAGGTGAGGAAATAGATAGATAGATAGATAGATAGATAGATGTTAGATAGATAAATATATGCTGAACAAATAAATGATGCAGCTAGAAAAAATTATCTTGCTGTTTTGGAAGTTTTTTAGTGGGGATAAATAAGTCTCCAACATAAAACTTTCTGCTGAAACACAGATGTAAGGATGAGAGTTCATGACAAGTCATCTTCATCATACAGTGTTTGCACCTACATCTGCTGATGGTAAAGCCACAGAATACCCCAATGATGGATGTATTTATAAGACTGCAAATATTCTATAGCAAAAGACACACTGTCTGATTTCTCACAAAGGCTGCTTCTTCTTATTGGACACACAGAATACATTCCCCTGCCTCCTTTGCAGCTAGTTGTGGCCATATCATCAGGTCATGGCAATTGAAATGTGAGCAGATGTAATGTGTGTTATCTACAAGCTGAGTAGGTTAATAGCATGTGTACCTTTTTCCGGCTGCATTTTCCCCCTTGGCTGAGCTAGATATAGAGTATCCATTGGATAACTCTGAGGCTCTAACCGTTGGAGGAGTGCCAAGATAGAAGGAGCCTGGGTTCTTGAGTGACTGAGTGGAGCTGAGTTCCCCAAATCCTGTCTCCCATTTCAAATTAAAAATGAACTTCTATTATTTAAATTACTGAATTTGAAAGTTTTGTTGCTTCACCTTACTCTAAAACATGAGGCAGTAGAACTCCCTACTTGGGGTCTTAAAATTTATTGGTGGGGAGGTCTCATTTGGACAACCCTTGAAGCATATGTTCATTTGGATTCTCAAGGGCTTCACCATTGCCAATGTCAAACATAACAGTGGCCTAGTCAAAAAAAGAAGCCGATTCATTTCTTTTACCAAATTATTTTTCAATATACATTTTTACAGTAAAATATACAAAAGAACTGATTTGCTGATTTCTTCCTTTTTATAAACAAAACTTTTTTTTGAAAAAAGAAGAACCTCAAAGACCCCTGACCAAAAAAAAAAAAAAAAAAAAAAAAAAAAAAAAAAAAAAAAAAATTCTCTCCTAGGATAATTGGTGTGATTTTAAAATTATAGTCTTTCCAGAAAAATGTGGCTGCTGGTGCCTCCTTGGGGCTTCTGCGGAATAGAGTCTTTATGAGGTACGCCTCATAGAAGACCAAAAGCCACATACTGTAAACTGGGTTTTACTTGGATCCATTTCCTCATCATCCTCATTTATTCTCCCCACCAATTTTATATTACTGGGTGGTAAACTCACCATATTCTGGTTGCTCTTTGGTTTCAAAAGACCGGTGGCCTGGGGCCGGATGGTCCCACCCCCGGGGAGGGTTGAGGAAGTTGCTGTCATCTGAGGTACTGTCGTACTTGTAGTCCTGGTCCCCGCTGTTGGCCCTCGACAAGGACAAGGACCTCTGCCACCAGGCCCACCAGTCAGGGGATGGGACTGACCAGCTGGGCTTATTCTCCGGATGCTGATCTTTATCTGCTTCAGAGTCAGGACCGTCCACCACCTCTATGGTGACCTGAAGAATTCAGAACAGGTCAGGGTCAATGAGGAGTCAATAGCCTCCAAGCTGGGTGACCCTTGGAAGAAAGTCTGGGATACCAGAGGCAAACGATGGATGTGTCCTTTATGAAGGACAGCAGAGACTGCATGGTGATACAGAATGGAAAACATCCAGGGATGGCCCAAATGAACCCCACGATTAGAGAGAATGAAGTACATGGGCCTTGGGTGGAAGGAGACAATTCATCACTAGAGTCACTGATTTATTGAAGACTACATAGCTGGGAAGTCTCTAATTCAAGGAGTAAACATGTACTATATATGTTTCTTAAGTGACTCAAGAATAATTATAATAAAACTGAGCACTTATTTAGTATTATCTCTGTACTAAGCATGGTTCTAAATGCTCTTCCATATATTAATTTACTTAATCCTCATGACAACCTTATAAGTTTGGTTGATTGGCCCCTATGATTGATGATCTGCAATATTGGTCCAGATAATCCCTCCCATCCTTGTACATGTGTGCCATACCTCCCATCAGGAGGTGCAGTTGACTTCCTCTCCCTTTTTATCTGGGCTGGCCTTATGACTCACTTTGTCCAGTGGACTGTGGAGTAGTTACAATGAGACAAATCTCATGAGGTTTTGCAGCTTCCATTTTCATGCTCATGGAATGTTTCTACCATTCTGTAAGGAAGCCCAGCCTAGATGACTGTGAGCATAGAGATTACATGAAAGGAGAGGCCGCAGAGAAGATAACTGAGGCTCCTTGGTCCCAGTCATATGAGGGGGGCCATCTTGAATCCTGCAGCCCGGTTGGGTCATCCCCTTGGATATCATGTGGTACAGAGATGAGCTCTGCCAGTTGAACCCTGCTCCAATTCCTGACCTATAGGGACCAAGAGCAATCCGATGGTTGCTATTTCAAGCTATTGAGTTTTGGGGTGGTTGTCAGGCAGCAATAGATAGCGTTTTATAGACAGAGAAAACTGGCACACAGAGAAGTTAACAACTTGCCTAAAGTCACACAGCTAATATCTGGCAGACGTGGCTAGTGTAGCTCCGGAGCCCACTCTCTTTGCCACACTGCCCCTCTCAACAAGTAAGGAACAGAGGTATTGTCCCCTCATGCAACCAAAGGAGCAAAGAGGCCACAGCCATTGATGCTGGGTGTCACAAGTTGTGTAGAGATGTGAACACAAGGTCCTCAAGGTCCAGGCTTTCACAGCTGGGATTTTCACTTGCCCTCAGGTCCAGACCCAGCACATACATCCCTCAACCAACCCTCAGGTTCAAAACAGATAGTCCCAGAGCCAAGGTTAGAACTTGCTCTCTAATTTACGGAGCCTCGTTTGGAAGTCACGGGGCTGGAAGAATGCAGCTTCTTGGCTCTGAGAGACAATCAACGTAGAGAAACTTGTTTCAAAAATATAATAAAAACTCATTGGGTTCCTTTGGCCATCGCATAGCTCTTGCAACACCCCCTGGATGAGTTATGTGCAAATGAATCAGAAACACGTGCTCCAAGTAATCAGCGCAAGATGTACTGGGCAGATGGATTTTTAGTTTTGCCCTAACCCGACATTTGAGAGAGTTGCTGGTATGCTCTGCCAAATTGCACCAGGGTGTGCCCATCCTGAGACAACAGCCTCTTCCTTCTGTGTTAGGAATGGGAAAGTTTGCATTCTGCTCACTTTACCATGCCAAGGAAGTTTGCCCAGCTGATGGTGAGCCTGGGCTGTGGCCTGGTGTGGTCCAAACACAAGACCAAGAGTGTGACCTTCAATACCAGAGTATACTTGGGCTGCGGCAGGTCAAGTGTATCGTTCCTCTGGTGTGGGATGCCTAGATGCCTTATTCCATGCTACCACTATTACCCCAGTTTTATAAGCATCGTTTGCATATGTATAAATAATGATGAAATCTTTAGTAATCCTCCAAAAAGAAGAAAAAAAAAAAGAAGAAAATGAATGCATCATATATCTTGTTTCATTGCTGTTTACTAGGATGGATGGCTGCTGGTAAATGACAGTGACTGGGACCCACACACAACCCTGGAAGGACAAGTGCAGAAGGAGTGCACAGCTGGGGAGTGACAGGCTACTGAGCCTTGGAGGCATAACCTTTCTCCTCTGCAGTCCCGTCCCCCTCTGCCTGCAGACAGAACAACTGAGCCTCAACAATCGTCTGCATGGCTGTTAAGGGTCTTGGAGGGGAGAAGCTGCCAAGAGCCAGGCAAGCCTGCAATTATGGTAATGAAATCAGTCTCTGGGTAGGAGATAAGGGGGAACATGCCCAATGGTTTTGGTATTCCATTTGTATTCAGACTGGAGTCAAAGGGATTGCCTAAACAAAACATGCTCTGCAATTTCTCCAAACTGGGAATAAAAACAATTTCATGTTTTAAGCTATTACCGTCAATATAATTCTTTTTCTTCCAAACTGGTGCTCAGATCCAAACAAAATAGATTTGTTGCCTGGCCAGGCAATGAGTAGCAAAATACAAATTTACTCCAAAAACTATATCGATGACTGAATCTTAACAGTTTAGAGGTTTCTTTTTCCCCTTTAATTTCGAGCCACTGCCTCAACTGAATTAACAACAAAAAAACAAACAAAAAAAACCCCACACAAACCTTAGGGTCCGCCCTTCCCTACAGTTAATGTGGAAACCTCATACTGATATCAAAAGCAGAAATCTAATCTTGAACCTGAAATTTCATAGGTATACAATTAAAAAGACTTAATGAGAATGATCAATGACTTCTCAAATGATGGGGATTAGTTTTATGTTTCCTATTGCTCTCGTTCAACTTATATGTTCTTTGGCATCAAAGAGTCCTTTTATAAAAATGTCTTGAACAATAATCGATGTGATGAGCTTAAGGTGTGGTAGTGAGCACAGCAGATTTCCAAGCTGATAAAGTTTGAGATCTTACTGTCCTTTCTTTTCCTTGATGCACATAATTGAAGTATATAAGTACATTTGTTTTTTTCTGGACTTTCCACACCATGAACCAAGACAATAAAAGAAAGAAAACTCTTTCAAAATATCCGAGCCCAACTTCTGGCTGAGTCTCATCAGCTTCAAGAAACAGAGCTCTATATCACTGCCAATTTGGGTAATTCTGTCCAAAATCCAGATGTGGGGATCATAGGCAGCACTACCAGTTTCTTTCTTTCTTCCTTTGGGTAGTTAAAACATTTATTATACTTTCTCTAAAAAGCACTTTCTTAGGAAAACCAACAATTTTCAGTCTTACTGATAATAAACTACAGTATACAAAAAACTTGACAACCTGAATAAGAGAGAATCTTCTAGCTCAATGGTCCTATAAGCCTTCTGAGCTTGATGACTAGGCGGGCATGAGTCGGTATTTCCCAGACAGTAAAATAAGCCCTGAGAGGTGAATTGATTCCATAGGAACACAGAGCACCCAGGGACAGTAAGACAGTCTCCAGCAAAGGACTAGGCCCCAGATTACATAGCCTCCTTCCTTGACAATGTAACACACACACACACACACACACACACACACACACACACACCCCCCATATATAATAAAGAGGTAATATGCAAATTGACCATCATGCCCTCATACAAGATGGCTGTTCCCATGTGGTTACAAGATGGCCAGTAGAAGAGAGCAGTTGTGGGGGATCAGGCCAGCTGGGGAGGGCAGTTAGGGGTGACCAAGCCAGGCGGGGAGGGGTTGACCAGGTCAGCAGGGGAAAGCAGTTGGGGGCAACCAGGCCTTCAGGGGAAGAATGGCAGTTGGTGGGGACCAGGCCTGCATGGGAGAGTAGTTGTGGGCAATCAGGCTGGTAGGGGAGGGAAGTTGGGGGTGACAGGGCTAGCACAGGAGGGCAGTTGGAGGCAATCAGGCTGCAGGGGAGTGGTTAGGGGGTGATCAGACTGGCAGGAAGGTGAGCAGTTGGGAGCCAGCAGTCCCAGATTGTGAGAGGGATGTCTGACTGCCCTGTGGGATCAGACCTCACAAGGCTTACAGGACTATTGAGCTAGAAGATTCTCTTTTTCAGGTTGTCAAGTCTTTTGTATATTGTAGTTTATTATCAGTAAGACTTAGGTTTGTTTTCCTAAGAAAGTGCTTTTCAGAGAAAGTATAATAAATGTTTCTAATAAATGAGGCCTGATCCCATACTGGCAGTCAAATGAGGCCTGATCCCATACTGGCAGTCAAACATCCCCTGAGGGGTCCTAGATTGGAGAGGATGCAAGCTGGGCTGAGGGCAGGCTGGGCTGAGGCACACCACCCCTCCAGTGTACAAATTTCATGCACTGGGTTTCTAATTATATATATATAATCATTTTAATTTTTATAGGCAAGGAAACTGAGGCATAGAGAGTGGAGTAACCTGCATGAAACCACAGAGGTCAATGAAGAATTGAACAAAAACCTTGTCCCCATGGGTGTAAGGGACCATGTCTTTGGGCACAGAAATTTCTTTGATTGTTACTCAGCCAAACCTATCATTCCAAGAGTATATTAGAGAAAAAGAAGGAAGGGAAATCAGAAGTAGAAGCCCATACAACAGTTAGAGCCCTGTCCAACTCATTTGATTGTATCTTGTGGTACTCAAGAGGCCCATGGCTATGTAAATACATCTGTGCAAGAAAAAAAAAAAAAATAGGCCTTTAGATGACTATTTTAAACTCTCTCTCAATGGAAGAAAAGAAATAAATATATTGGTTGAAATGACTACTAATGCCAGCTCGATCCAAAAAAGAGAAATAGTTTTTTGTGACTAGCTACCATGGTAATGAATTGATGCAGTAAGCCTAATAATGAGTTTATTTTAGAGATTTTTGTCTTTGCTATCTGACCATCAGCTACAGACTGAAGCCCAGCCAAGGATATGAAAGTTCAAGTGTAACTTGTCCTGGGGGATATCTTTTCTTTCCTGACTGATTTATTTATTTATTTATTTTTTAAACAAAAGCCAACCTCTAGCATTGTTTTAAATTTATTATGGAGATTGGGTTCAGGAGATTGAGGCTATTTCTTTCTATTTTGCACATGGTTGTCTACCCCCCAATTTCCACAGCCTGAAGCCAGTCTTTAAAACAGAGAGCCTGGCGCACTTGGGATGGAGGCCTCCTGGCTTACAGTCATTTAAAAAAAAGGCTGCACAAAGCAGGGCTTTTTAAAAGCACTTCCCTTCCTAAAAGTCAAGAGGCCCAAGAGGGATGTGGCCTTTGCCTGGACTCAGCATTGTCACTTCGGAAAGGTGTGGGCTGTTTGGCCAGAGGGACAGTGGCCCCCAGCCCTGGGGCGTGGGAAATGCTTCCAGACACTGGAGGGGTTGGGGGTGGTTCAGAGAGAGGGGTATCGAATTCCTGTTCAGCTACCCAGCTCCAGTCAGACATAAAGAGGTGGGGGTGAAGGGCAGTTTGCCAGAGGAAGGGGGAGACAGGCCCGGGGCCCTGGCAGCAGAGGCCAACCCACTGAAGCGGCCTTCACCTGTCTTCACTCGGCTCCCCAGGGAGAGAAAATGCTTTCAAGGGACCTTGGTGACCAGCAGGGCTGTCTGCTTGGCTGAATCAGCCCGTGTCAAACCAGTGGATTTCAACAAAAGAAGAGTGCTCGCAGGAAGGGGTAAGGGCTGCCAACACGGAAACCATCACCCCCTTTTAGGAAGTACCTCATCTTTTAAAAGACCACCAGGGAATTGGTTTACTCAAGGGCAGTGGTGCATGGGGCCAGCACTGTGCGTGCGTGCGTGCGTGCGTGTGTGTGTGTGTGTGTGAGTGTGTGTGTGAGCGCGCGCGCACACACTTCCACGCAGACCAAGGGCAGGAACTCCAACGGGTAGCAGCTGCTTTGTTCTTTCTTTGACCATCTTTTTTGAGTGACCGACATTAACCTTTTGTAGTCTAGAAAGAGAAGGCCAGTAAGGTAGCTCCATTTCTTTTTCTCTAGGGCCAACAGGTCATTTGATCAATAAAACACAGTTCACCCCACTCTTTGCACTTCCTGTGGAAGGTTAACAGAAGCAGGGTTTGTGCAAAGAGAAAGGCATTCCCTCAGCTGGACAGTGGGCAAAAAGATGCTGTTGGCCTACTCTTTCGGGATTTTTATTTTTTCACTTTCATGGTATCTGGGTTAGCGTTTCATTAGTTTCTAAGCCGTTCTGCCAGCAAGATGATATTGGAGCTATGGGGAACCTATGTTCTTGGGGCCATGGTGAGTTTTGCTGTTCAAAGGGTAACTCAAAAGACTGGGACCTCCTAGGTGTGGCACTGTTCCTCTTCCTACCCTGTACTCCAAAGCATTTCTCTCCGAAGCAGCACCTGGAGGTGAATTTCTTGCTCCCGGGCTGGGGGGCGGGAGGGTGAAGGGGGTAAGACAGAGTGAGAACAAAGCACCAATTGTTACATTTCGTTTCACCTGTTCTAAGTCTATATGAACAGGTGGCCAGGGGTCTCAGAGGAGAGGAGGGCAAATAATTTCCATTGGTACTACTTCTGCAGCCACAGCTTTGTGACAGCATGTGGGGAAGCTGCATTTGATAAAAGTCCAAGAGCCCTTGCCAGAGGGAACCACGTGTGGCCTTCTCATAATTCGTCCTCCACTCAATTCTCTGCTTCCTCGTCTCTCAGGTTTTCTCCACACCTGTGAGCTCCAGCAGCCCCCTCCGACCTCAGGAAGCCGGGGGGAAACCATTCTGAAGAATTCTTTACCTCCGATTCAGTTAAACAACACAGCTTAAGGTGATCAAAATGAATAGCAACCTCCACTGCTCTCTGGAGATCACGCATAGCTCTGTCACAGGAGCTGCGGAGGGCTCAGCATTATGCAGTCGCCTTTTTCTTATTTTTGGAAAAGTAATGTGGGTTTCCCAACTGCCTTTACACCATTGCTCTTCCCTAACATTTGGGTAATATTTTTAAAAGAGTCCCTGTGCGATGTAGGTGGAATATGGGGATTTCCTGATGGATGAATTTATCTGGGAGAGAGAAAAGGGATCCTGAGAAATTTGGCTCTTAGCAACATTGCTGCGAGGGGAAGCATTCCCAAGGACTTGGGTTCCCCTGCATCCAAGTATATTCTCATAACTTTACATTAGTCATTTTTAAATCTATTACTCTCCTAGCTCAGCCCTCAGCAATAAGATCCACAGTGACATTTCCCACCTCTGGGGGAAAAGTGTGAGCCATAGGAAGTCTAAAGTCATTCCAGGCATGGCCTAAGCACCTTGTGGGTGAGGGCAGTCTGGTCCCATGAAATCTATAAACAAGGAAAAATCACTTCCTGTAGATAAATGTATGATGGGGAGTGATTTTGAGCAACAATAAAGATATGTCTGGGCTTTTTTCTTTTCCCCAAGCTGCACCTCCCCCAAGTGGATCCTTTGTTCTTTAGCAGAGAGCCAAGTGGCCAGTTCCTGGAGAGAGGGCAGTGGAGCAAAAGGCCTGTTTTTCTAATTAATCAATGAGCACAATGCAAGACTCATCAGACATATTAATTGGGGCATGCAGTGATTTCTGTGCATGGGTTGTCAAAGAGTGACCTCCAAACCATTGTCTACCTCTGTACCATCAACCCTGACTGCCCTGCCCTACATCTGCCCATCTACTCAGTCTGTGCACCATAGAACATAGTGATTTTTTTCCCCTCTGTCCCCATGATCCCTTGTCTCCTACACAGTCTTCAGTGGTAGCTGGGATTTTCACACCTATGTCATTTCCTGGAGGAAAAAGGCCTTACATTTCTTCATTTCTCAGAACCTAACCCAGCATTTTTAATGCAGTAGGGGTTGGCCTAATTGAGGTGTATTCCCAGGGATATTTGGTAGTCACCAGGACACTGGTATTATAAGCAAAGCAACTCTGGTCAAGGAAACCTGATCTACAATGGTGTCATGTAGAGAGGGTTCATCTTGAGGGAGAGAGACAATTAACTTAATTAAGAAGCAGTTCCTCTGGGGTCAGGATCAGGAAGCTTCTGCCATGTAAATTCATGCAGAGAGAAAGAATAAGGAAAAGCTGTCTCTCCACAAATGCAAAGAATTAAGAGCAAAGCTGAAGAGAAGGGAAGAAGGCAAGAGAGAAGAGAATGGGAGCTACATTGGACCAGGTTGCTCAGGAGAAAGCACCTCTCTCATTTCATGGGATCATCTGTGGGAAGAAGCAGAGGGAGATCCAAGCAGAATGGAAACTTAAAAGCCTATCCCTGAAACACCAATTGGTGGGGTGAAGAGCCGGAGAGCCTGAATTTGAGCCCCCAACTATAATTTATGAGCCATGTGACCTTGGGCATACCAGAGTGACTTCCCTGAGGTCTGCCTGCCTGGCTGACAGTATTGAAAGAGTGACATGTGCTTCATAAGGGGGTGGGGAGAGTAAAATCTGATCAACATCTGCTTTATAGTCTACTGTGCCATTTTGGTGGAGGTCAATACTGTCTTTTTCAATCCCAGGCACCCTTTGCATAGCTTCCTATTTCCCTTTGCTCCATCCCATTCCACCTTAGTGGTGTGTGTTCATCTCTCCCATAGGAATGTCTGTTCTTACCTCCCTTCTTATAAAAATCTCTTTATCAGTCATTTACACTTTAGAGCCACTGAAGTGTTGTCACCTCCTGAAGGCATTTCTGGTGTCCAAGACAAGCTAGAGAGGCATGTGAGGGAGAGGGCCTTCCTGGGCACATGTGAAATCATGCGATGATTTGCCTCATTTACTCACATGCTAGACTGGCCCTTTCCTCAGCTCCCATATTTTCTCAATTTCAGGGCATATTATTTTGTTTGGTTTTTACATTTTAATGCCTCTAATATAAGACTGTATCTTATAATCATCAGACATATTAATTGGGGCATGCAGTGATTTCTGTGTGTCATAATTTAATGAACAATGTTTTTTTTTAGGTTATTTTTTTTTTTTTAGTGGTTTATCAAATAATGGTGTATCTCACAATCAAGGATGTTACATAGATAAAATACACCATTATTCTTACAATGATAACATTACCTTAAGCAGGATTCATTAAAGAGTTAATAAGAAAAGTGAGGGAAGGCAGGAGTTGCTTTGAAATCAGATCAGGCAAGAAAGAGATGGACTGTTTCATTTTTCACACCTTTCAGCCTTACCTGGATATTTGGATTCTGTCCGTTGATATCAGCTTTGGAAAGATCTGGAAAGTTTGGTAGATCAAGGAGGAAAGATCTTGGACCATCTCTTTGCAATGAAGGGTGCCCAGCCTCTGGTTGGAATCGCTGTCTAGAGAGGGGCTGGTGTGCAGCCTGGTGGTCCAGGTGCTCCCCTGGTGCTTCTTTGGAGAAAGGAAAGCTGCTTTCTGACGTAGAGTCACTTTCCACATTGAGGTTATTCTAAACACAAATAAGAAAATGAGCGAATAAGTAGGGCATGATTTTAAAACATCATCCTTAGCAGTCTATTAAATTCGGGAGCAAGGACACTGGCAGTGGCTGGAATTAAGCCAGGATGGTATTCCCAACTCATTTTCATCACCTGTGGTTTAATTTCTCCATATTCAATTAGTCAAATCACCAGGAAGTTTCTTTCAGCCTGCTACTTGGGAATTTTCTGAAGGTAAATGAGTTATGGGCTATGCATTAAACATCAAGCACATCAACACAAAAGCACTATTTTGAAGGTGTAGGTGTTCATTTAGAATTGAAATCAAATTATGGCTTTCTTTTCACAGCTTCAATTGATTAACCACTCCTGCTTAAGTTATCATCATATTGTCCAGAATTTGTTTCTTTGGTGCAGGTCATGGAGCAAAAGATCTGACCAAACCGAGTAAAATACTTGAGCCAAATCATTGTTTATATTCATTCATTCCTCCCTCCCTCCCTCCCTTCCTTCCTTCCCTTCTTCCTTCCTTCCATTCATCCAATCAACAAATGCCAACCACATGTTAGGCACAGGAGATAACAGCCATAAACAAGACAAACAAGGGCCCTATTCTCTTGGAGTGTACATCTAGTTGAAAGATATAAACATTAAAATATGGAGAAATCAATAAAATCAGATCAGAGAGTGGTGAGTGCTAAGAAGAAAAGAAAGAAGAAAATAATAGAGAGCAGCTGGGGACACTAGTAGGTAGCTGGGGGATGTCTCTGAGAAGGTGACATCTGGCAGGAGACTTGAACAAGAGAAGAAGGTATCCTGCAAAGATCTGGACAGAGGACATTCTATTATAGTAGAAGGAATAACAAGCAAGACAGTTCCTGAGGTGGGAATAAATATGGCTCATATGAGGGACAAAAAGCAGGCCAGTGAGTCTGGTATGGAGCGAAGAAAGGGAGAACAGTATTAGATGAAGATGAAGAGATGGAGGTAGCTGGAAAAATTGACAAAATGGCATTCTAAAATTTTAACATCTTTATTCTGTAAAATGCAAGTCTGTCATTTTTCCCAGCTAGTGAAAAATGTCTCTATTTAGTTGTCACTTGGGGGACATTTTCCCAGTGACTGAAAAGTGTAGAAATTGCTGGACTTCTTTTCCAAACCAGCCCTTCTCCTCACATTCTCTCTGGACCTTGTGTTGGAGGCTCCCTCCATCCCTTTGGGGATGGCATTTTCATGTTTACTGGTGGAGGGAGATGTGAAGATAGAATTTCACCAACCCTTGGGTCAGTGGTTAATGTCCTTGTTATTCTTGGGCATGTTTTGGGGTTTGGAGCGTATATTCCAGCACACTGTCTCCACACGCACTCCCCTCCCCCCACCACAGTGCTTCTGACCCAGCCAAAGGGTTATGTGTGGTATCAAAACACTCCTGACGCTGAGTCCCCAAGGTCAAGCATGGCCTGAGGATGACACTCATGCAGCAGATAAATATCTTCTTAGCAAACGTGATGGAAGGGATTGTTGTGTATCTCCAACAGAAATGGGACTGAGAAATAAACTCGCTGGTACAGAAACCATCTTTGTGGATGTTCCAAGAGGCCAAGAAGAGGATTGGGATAGACGGCATGTCTGCGGTCTCCTCTTAACAACATGAAGTTGCAGAGGGTTTGCTGAATGCTCACAGCATGTTTTTGCTTGCCCTCTTCTTTTGCCCAGGAGATGTGGGCGGGGGCATTGTCTTGGTTAACCTTTTCAGCCACCTTTCTGCCATAGTTTTTGTCTCCTGGCACATCCTCATAAGAGGGAGTTGCCCTGGCTTTTGCAGAAGACAGAGAGAGAGAGAGAGAGAGAGAGAGAGAGAGAGAGAGAGAGAGAGAGAGAGAGAGAGAGAGAGAGAGAGAGAGGGAGGGAGAGAAGAGAGAGAAATACTACTTGTCTTTCCTCAAGTAAATGTGATTGTTCCCTTGCTTTTCTCTAACCCTAAAACCCCCCAACAGTGTTAGTGAGGACAGTGGATTTTCAAGGAAAATGTATTACACAGGACAGGACTTGGGAATGTAAGTCTCAGAAGGGGGCCAGGATTTGCTTGCCAGTTGCTTGGGGAATCCCTGGCAAACCTAGCCCGAACTGCATTGCAGCAACTGGAAGTTACTCCTCCATTGGGTTAAAAATGAAGCTCTCTTTCTTTTTCCCTGTGATGAAGTACTCTTCCTCCTGCTGCACATATTTTAGAAGAAGAGATAAGAATAGTATTTTTGCTGCTATTTGGCATTTTGCTCAGATAGCTGATAAAACAAGAATCGCATCTGACTGGTTTCTTGATCTGGCTCTGGAATTTTTCCGGATATGCGATACTCCACCACAGAATGATCCTGGCTCAGTCATGGACCAAGAAAATCCTTCAACGTCTCTGTGGCTCAATGATCCCCCATGTAACACAGAGCGAATTATATGAAGAATCTTGCATCCTCCCAGCAGGATGAGCAAGATAACGCAGGTTGGGTTGTATCTACCCATGAAAAGAGAAGTAGAGAGTTAGGCGATTGGCTGGACAATTCAGGCCACAAGCGCCTCTGCCGGGAAGAGACTGGAGCTAAAGTATGTTTTGGCTTAAGTTAGGCATGCAGTTGTGGCCTTTCTCCATTTCTCTCCAATCCTCCCCTCTCTCTGCCTGCCTTCCTCCACCCTAAGCTCAGTATTTATAAAAGATTTGGAAGATGGGAAGTAAGAAGAAATACTAATCACATTCTCTGACTATTGAATTATTCTTGCATCTCTACCAAAATATATTTATCTAGAAACCCTGGTTTCCTGCAATTGCATGCCCCCAGACTCTTCAGAGATTGGAAGTCCTAGGATGGGGAAGGTATTTTGGCATGGCTCACATAAAATGAAACTCAACTATATTCTATTAATAATAAGATTCTGGAGTAGCCATTATTTTGATGGTATAGATTTTAAATCTGGGGTGGGAGATGACAGACAGGATCTACCAACAATGCAGGGAAAGGTCTTTTCAGCCTTTCTTTTTTGTTGTTAATCCTCACTAGAGGATTTTTCCCATTGATTTTTAGAGAGAGTGGAAGGGAAAGGGAAAGACAGAGAGATAAACATCTATATGAGAGAGACACATCAATTGGTTGCCTCTGGCACATGGCCCAACCAAGGCTGCAACCGGTTACATGCCCATGGCTGGAATCGAACCCGGGAGCCTTCAGTCTGAGGGCTGACACTCTATCCACTGAGCAAAACTGGCTAGGGCTTTCATCGTTTCTTAAGGACACACTGCACATTTTCTTTCCAGAGGTCCCTGTGGAGGTCTTCGCTGATGGACAGCATTCATCTCTCACCAAGCTCACTCACTGGGTGTTCCACTTAAATGATACTATCAGAGTGAAGATCCTCAGGAAGCGCATATCTCAAAGTAAAGATTTAACTAGTTTGTGTTTTACTCAGGAAAGCAAACATCCTTTCTTGAAGACAATAGCTTAGGAAAGTCTAAGAACTGAAGAAAAGAAATGCCACCACTCTTTCCAAAGTGCTGCAGGATTCATTTCACCTAAATTCAAGTGACATGGGGAAGAGGGGGTGGTTTGCTTAGTTTAGGAAAACATTTCTTTACCCACAATGTGTCTTTGTCTTGACCTTTAATCTGTGACAGTGCTATGGCTCCAGTAGCAGTGTTCTCTCTGCAACTCTAATTTGAGAGCTGTGACTGCCAATAAAAAGAGAAACAGAAGAACTAAAGCTATTTTATGGTTTCTACAAAGGCACTGTTCAAGTGATGAGGTCGTTGATGTTCAATGGCCAAGTTATCCAGCCACTGCTGATGCTTCCCATCTCTGTGCATTATTTTACAGCTTATTCTTATATAAAATAGGAATAGCTAATAATAGCATGTCAATAAAAATAACATAGGCTCCATGCTCATGTATTTTGCCATAGATGGCAATATTGTGGCAGACATTGCAATTGCCTACCCAATATGCATTCCTCCTCTTCTTCCTCAGTGTTTGTTTAGATGGCAAAGTGCTGGTTAAAACTATAGTTCCCAGCATCCATTGCATCCAGAGGTGACCATGTGACACGATCCTGACCAATGAGATGTAAGTGGAAGGTGCTGGATGGTACTGCTGAATATGAGGCAGAGTCAGGTTGCCTTTTACTTTTCTCTCTTCCACTTTCTCCTGCTTGAAATGTGGATACAAATGCTCGAATGGAATGAGGATGAAGTCTGAAGGGAAAGATGGAGGGGTCTAGGTCCCTGAGGGCATTGTAGAGTCATCATACCAGTCCTGGAATGGTGACCTCTGAATTTCTTTTACCCCTACCATCAACACTAATGTTAACCTTGACAATGTTATAACACCAGTACCAGTTTCTTACTGTGACTCTAACTCTAATTTGACTATCAATAAAAAAGGGAGAAGCCTGTTTAGCTAAGTGACTGAAGGTGGGGGTCTGCGTTCTTGGCAATGGGACACAATCACCAGCTGATGAGGAACTGACAGAGCAGACCTGAATCCTGCTGTTAGTGAATCCTGCTGTTAGTGAATCCTGGTGAACTTCACCATGGCAGGCAGGCTATGGATGCTCAGCTCTGCTGCTAACTTCCCTAATACCCTATGCCAACTCAGCCACCTATACCCTTCTCCATACACATTCAGAATCTTCTCACTGTTCCAGCATCTAGACATTGTATTACTCAAACCTATTACTCACTGTGCAGTGTAATATTTCATTTTGTCCTAAAATACTATCATTACATTTCAAGAAGTTCGCCCTTGCTAAAAGGAACCATAGCTCCTTGGAAAAATAAATGGTAGATTCCAGAGTTTGGGTAGGAAAGTATAGGTGATACTTAATTGGTAAAGAAGCTTTTAGGGACTAACAATGTCCTCTTTAAATAATTCAGGCTTAAAGGGGCCCCCACTGCATAAAGATTAGACAATTTGGGCCTCAACACAAAAGTTTGTGGTTGACTAGCACACCTTGAATTGATGAAAACACC